GGCTCCGGCGCCTGCGGGGCGCGCGGGGGCGGCTCGCGCGGGGCCGGGGCGCGCGGCTGCGAGGGCAGGAGCAGCGAGCAGTCGGCGCTGCGCTCCTGCCCCGCGGCCACGGCGCCGCGCTGCTACCCGCCAGGCGCCCGGCGCGGCGTCCGGGGACTCGAGCTTCTCAGGAATGTGGCCCGGAGGGCGGAGCTGGCCGGCTGGGAAGCGCAGTTCCACCTTATCGCCGTGGTCGGGGCGGGAGCCCGCGGGGAGCCGCCGCGGCTCGGGGCCCGGCTTCCTGCCCCGAGGGCCGGAGCGGAGACCCGCGCATGCCGCGGTGGCCGCGGTGGCCCGGGCTACTTAGCGGCGGCTCCGCGCCGCCGGCTCCCGACAGTGTTTTCTCTTTGTGTGTGTTTGAGCTTCTCTTACAAGTAGTCTGTTAGGTGGCACGTCCGGGTGGGAGTGTTTGATCGTGCCCTAGGGAAATAATGGCTTCGAGGAAGTTAAAAATGTGCTTTGATAGGGGCGAGACCGTTTCCTTGGAATTCCCGGTGCCCGCCTGCTTCGCGCTTGGGTGAAGTTTGGGATGAGCCCCGCCAGGAGAAGGCGAGTGTGGAGTTTGTGTTGCAGCCCCCCCCCCCCTTTTGCTGGAGGAGGAAAGCCGGGTTGTGTCAAAGAAAAGGGAGGTGAAATTCGTCCTTAGATTTTATTCTCGGTTTAGAGGTCCGAGTGTTTTTTTTTTTTTTCCTTTTCTTTTTTGATTTTTAAAAAAACAAACGCAGATCTCTGCTTTTGTCACCCTGAAAGGCGTGGCATATGTTGGGAGAGAGAGCTCAGGTAGCCTGCTAAATAACAAAGGTATTTTCACTGCATCAAAGAGCACGGGTGGCAAAATGTTTTATTTTATTTTTTTCCTGTTTTCCGTTTCTCCCGTTTGTTGAATTGGTAGATTTGAATAGCTTATTTTGTTTCCTTATAAACTGTGATGTTTATATAGTGTCGTTAAGACGCACAGTTCCATAACCTAAGCGTGGTCGTCAGCTCTCACATCGAGTGAATGAACAATACTTGCTCCTGTAATATTTCATGGAATTGAAAAGTGCTGCTCAACCTTTGTATTCAGAGAGGATGTTTATGTCATGAGCGTTGACAGTAGTGGTGGCGGCGGTGGGGGCCAGGCTGATTGAGAAGTGAGATTGGTTTAAGTTTACCAGACTTCAGTCGGGTTTTTTGCCTAGTTGCTATTTGCCTGGGGCCAAAAGAGACTTTTAAGTGACTGACAAAACAAAGCAAGTCACAGCCAACTCTCCCTGATGGCTGGTATTGGAGGGAATCAAGAAGCCAGAGGACAATCCTGGGTCCCAGAACTGACATTCCTTAGAAGAATTAAATCGGAAGCATTTAAGCTTTTGAGGGAGGGGCTTATCTGAATGTGGTTGCTTCCATAAGCTAAGGTGTTCTGAGAAATAGTATCAGAAACCCTGACACTCCAGGTAATTACTGTCTTCCCAATGACCTTCTAGAATTCATTTGTCGGATGCTTTGTGAGTGGTAAAGACATGCATGGCGATGAGGTATACAGCTAAGGACCGTGAATGAGCTTTGAATCCTACAGACTTGAATATGTGCCTTTTGTTTATTGGCTATGAAATAGGTAGCCTTTCCAAGTCTCAATTTTCTTGTTAGTCAAATAGGTCTCACTAGTGGTGGCACATGCCTGTAATCCTAGCTTTCAGGGAGGCAGAGGCAGGTGGATCTCTGAGTTCAAGGCTAGCTTGGTCTACAAAGCTAGTCCAGGACAGCCAAGGCTACACAGAGAAATTGTCTTGAAAGAAAATCCCCCAAAACCCAACAGACAAACAAAACCAACCAACCAACCAACCAAACCAACCAAATAGGTCTCAATACATGTCCTTTATAAATTTTACATTATGAGAAAGATCTTAGCGTTGCATTGAGCATATGCAACGTGTGCTCTTGATAGTAGCCATTTCTGTAAGTGTGTGAGATGTTTAGAAGCAAAGGGGTTTTATTTGAAAAAGTCAATGTATGAGGGCTTCAGAAATGCACTGTGGGGCTGGGCATATAGCTCAGTGTCGAGTGTTTGCCTGAGTTTGATTCCTTATCCCTAAAAAAAGAGCCCCGTGTCTTACTGGGAGTTGTGAGTGGAAATGTGGTGAGTGTGGGGAGTCACAGATTGAAAAGAGGAGGCAGATACGTGTGGAAAGCTGGGAGTGAGAGGCATATGTGTCCTGGGGCTTTTGGGGCTGGTGAAACAGGAACACAGGCTCTGAGGTTGACTTGGTGAGGAGGAAGGAGGCACAGCACCTGTGTGGAGACTCTGCCCCCTGCCCCCACCCCAGCATGATGCTGGGTAAGTCACTTCACTTTCAGTCATCTGTAAGCTGAGGTAATAAAGTTAAACAGCCGTGAAAGTAAGATGGATCAACATCAAGGACTTCGGACAACGTGTAGTTCACAGAAAAGGCGGCATCCATTACTCTGTTAATTTTAGATTGTGGAGCTAAAGTCACAGTTTATCGTCTACGTCCACACTCACATGTGAGCACATGCATATTGGCCGGTAGACATACACACCACACTCACAGTCCCCCTCCCCCGTAAAGGGTCGTGCGATGTGGATGACCTCCCAGTTTCTGTTCTCCCCCAAGCATGCCCCACCACCTCACCAGGTGCTGGGGATCAAACCCAGGACCCTGGCAGTGTTGTAACCTTGGCACATCTCTTTAAAGCTTACTAGTATTAATTGAATCTTGCTAAGGTTCTTAGGATAGTGTTGAGCTCTCTATACAGCCCAGGCTAGCCTTGAACTACTACTGATGCTCCTGCTTCCGCATCTAAGGTAGCTAGGATTACAGGTCTGTATGCAGCCTGGCTGCTTGTGCGTTTTTGAAAACATTCTACGTTCTATTGGTGGGTAGAATGCCTGAGCGGGGAGTGACCTCTGGTTAGGACATAAATCTTGACATAGAGCGTGAGGCCGAGTTAGGTGTTTTGGCTTCTTCCAGCCAAATAACTGGGGGGTGTCCTCATCTTTCATCTTTTCTGTAGGGCTTTGAGTTCTTCTCTGTAAAGCACTGAGTTTGGTTGAATAGATCTCTGCTTCTTTTTCTTCTGTGTTCTGACTGGCTGGTGTCTTTGGTCTGGTTTCTTTGGTTTCCTAGGTCTCAATTTCGCATCTGAAAAGGCAGAATAACAGAGTGCTTAGGGTTTCTGGAGTAAATAATATGCCAGCAAATCGAGCTGCTTGGCACAGCTGTGACGGAGTAAGTCAGTGACCACCTTATTTGTGGCTATTCAGTATCTTGATGTTCTTCCAAAACAAAATTTGTAGTTTTTCCTCAATCCATAATGTAATCCATTATCACAGTCTTCTCCCTTCCCACCTTCACCCCGTTTCTCCCTTCCCAGCTCCACCATGAGATACTTAGATGAGGAGTATTGATTTCATTAGAGTTGGGAAAACTTCATTAATTTGGAATTGAGTTTTCAGAAATGATGGGACTGAGGTGGACCTTAGTGGTAGTACTGTTACTGGAGCTTTTAGGGTCAAAGCCTGGGCTCTAACATCCCAAACAAGCTAGGCTTGCTGTTTGTCCCTCACATACCAATTAAAAGGACATGCAATGGTGAAAAGCAGAGAAAGTAAATTTATTGAATATGGTGTTGGGAAGAGGAACAAGTAAAGGGGACTAGGGATCCCTAAGTCTATCTTTGGGGTACCGCCTTGAGGTTTGGGTTTCAATGGAAGGGAAGAGGCTGGGTCGAGGCGTGGTCCTGTCCCTCCTAAGTTCAGTTCTGTCTCTGGCAGGTTGTCACAGTTGTGCAGAGTCTTGGGCTGGGGTTCACATGCTCCTCTGCTGGCTTCAGACTTTTTCTTCCTCCAGCGTGACATTCCTGAAGGAAGTTTTAACCGTCTTTAGCCCATTGTTTCAATAGTTGGATGGCACAAGAGTTGCTCTCTCTGTTCTTCTGTCTGGACAGTTACAGCGCATGTGTTTCAGGCCCTGGGTTCAGTCCCCAGTTACAGAAAATGAAGACAAGAATCAAACAAAAAAATGTAATTAGTACGTTTTGGGGTTAATGGTTTCTCCAGCAACTGTGAGAAGAGGCTGTATATGCTTTCACGGATTTAAAGACAAATTACCCTGTTGCTGTTCTTCTGGCATCCTGACCTTTTTCTTATCTGTTTGTCAGATATTTTATGCTGTATAGGGGTTAGGAGGCCTCAGGTTGTAGCCCAGGCTGGCTTTGCACTTGAGGTCCTCCGCCTCACCATCATGAGTGTTTTGCTTACAGGCTTGTGCTCAGCTTCTCTTTCTTATTCTTGAGCATTCGTCTTAAGACCTTGTTAGCTCGGGCAGCTGACTCAGACATTGCTTCTTAGACACTGCCCATTGGGGAATGCATTTTGATGTCCTTTCCTAGAGTACATATCCTAGACATATTTGGAGCCCTGTATTTGTGTCAGTAGTTACTTGATCTGCGGGCCAAGGCTGTGCCTTTAACATCAGTGCTGCCTCATTGCTGCGTCTTGAGACAC